GAAATTCTTTACCCTCCCGCTGTAGTACTATCACCCTCCCGCTGTAGTACTATCAAATAGATATTTATAAGAGCAGAATCTATAATCCCTAGCCATGCAGAACTGCCAAGGCATTGAGTTGGAAAGTGGATGACCCCCAATGCGTATTTTTGTCAATTTTAATTTTTTTTTTCGTGTTACGGGCGAAATTTTAGGTCTTTAAGAATGCTTACCCCAGAAATTCTTTACCCTCACGTTGTAGTACTATCCATTAGCTATACGTTAGGCAGTGTTTATAATCCCTAGCCATAAAGAACTACAGAGACAATGGGTTGGAAAGTGGGTTTCCCCAATGCGTATTTAATCGAATTTGGCTTTATTTCCATGTTTCGGACGACATTTTCGACCTTTAAGAATGCTTACCCCAGAAAATTCTTTACCCTCCCGCTGTAGTACTATCAAATAGCTATTTATTAGAGCAGAATCTATAATGCCTAGCCATGCAGAACTGCCAAGGCAATGAGTTGGAAAGTGGATGACCCCCCAATGCGTATTTTATCAAATTTGACTTTTTTTTTTCGTGTTACGGGCGAAATTTTCGGTCTTTAAGAATGCTTACCGCAGAAATTCTTTACCCTCACGTTGTATTACTATCCAATGGCTGTACGTTAGGGTAGCGTTTATAATCCCTAGCCATAAAGAACTACAGAGACAATGGGTCGGAAAGTGGGTTTCCCCAATGCGTATTTTATCGAATTTGGCTTTATTTCCATGTTTCGGACGACATTTTCGGCCTTAACGAATGCTTACCCCAGAAATTCTTTACCCTCCCGCTGTAGAACTACCAAATAGCTATTTATAAGAGCAGAATCTATAATCCCTAGCCATTCAGAACTGCCAAGGCAATGAGTTTAAAAGTGGATGACCCCCAATGCGTATTTTATCAAATTTGACTTTTTTTTTCGTGTTACGGACGAAATTTTCGGTCTTTAAAAATGCTTACCCCAGACATTCATTCCCTTACATTGTAGTACTATCCAATAGCTTTACGTTAGGACAGCGTTTATAATCCCTAGCCATATAGAACTACAGAGACAATGGGTCGGAAAGTGGGTTTCCCCAATCCGTATTTAATCGAATTTGGCTTTATTTCCATGTTTCGGACAACATTTTCGGCCTTTCAGAATGCTTACCCCAGAAATTCTTTACCCTCCCGCTGTAGTACTATCAAATAGCTATTTATTAGAGCAGAATCTATAATCCCTAGCCATACAGAACTGCCAAGGCAATGAGTTTGAAAGTGGATGACCCCAAATGCGTATTTTATCAAATTTGACTTTTTTTTTCGTGTTACGGACGAAATTTTCGGTCTTTAAGAATGCTTACCCCAGAAATTCTTTACCCTCACGTTGTAGTTCTATCCAATAGCTATACGTTAGGGCAGCGTTTATAATCCCTAGCCATAAAGAACTACAGAGACAATGGGTCGGAAAGTGGGTTTCCCCAATGCGTATTTTATCGAATTCGGCTTTATTTCCATGTTTCGGACGACATTTTCGGCCTTTAAGAATGCTTACCCCAGAAATTCTTTACCCTCCCGCTGTTTTTCTATCCAATAGCTATTTTTTAGGGCAGTCTCTATAATCCCTAGCCACAGAACTGTCGAGGCAATGGGTCGGAAACGTGAGTTATGAAGTTTCAAATAGAAGTTGTATTGTCGGTTTACCATGAAAAAATTTATTTTATATCAAATTCTACATTTTTAGTCGTTAATATGAGTTTTTGAAAATTGCAAATGTGGATAAAACATGCGTAAATACGAATCACATCCTGGACTTAACAGATAATACTTTGTTTGAATCGTCATCATGATTTTATTTATTGTAAATGGTAATTACAAAACCGTAAATATGAGTTAGAAATCTTCAAACTAAAGTTAGAATTTTGTTATGGGATATAAAAATCTTTGATTTTCTATATAAATCTTGTTTTCGAACAAAAAAGTCAAAAACTATGGTTTTAAAGAAAAATAAAATTGTCGCCCTAACGCAATTGCAGGATGACGAATTGCAGGATAGCTTTTTATAAAGAGAATTGCAGGATGAGAATTGCTGGATAGCTTGACACTAGTTAATGTTAGGTGGGATGAAGGGTTTAAAGATGACGTCATGAACGACTTATTGGAGAATACACAGAAGTTCGACGACTTGCTTATCTATAATACTAAAATAACGAGGTCCAATTTGTTAGCCGTCATGGGGTAAAAACGACGTATCAAAGAATTCAACTTTATATATAACTAATATAGGACAATGGTGTTGATTAAAAATTACACCATTCCAGGCCCTTTTGTTTTCCACTTAATTAATATGACCAATAATTAACAAGTTCCGGGTCGAATCCGATATCGATACCAATTATATATATCACCTGATACCTATTACCTAATCTGTATGTTCCGCCTCTGTCAGGCGCACCACCAAACGGTGTATTTGGAATTTGCTATACACACGGCTGAACAATGTCATTACAAAACAATACAATACAATATTTTTTTTATTTTTCTAAATTAAAGGGCCCGTTAAGAGCATATTAACATTAATAACAACATGACATAGACATTACAGAGTGATTAAAGAAACATAAAATAATAGTTCAAATGCATGAGGAAAGGGTCAGTGGTCAAGGGGAGATATTTTTGCTATCTATTAGAGTGTTTAACTAATTTTCTGATTACTAAGTTGCAGGCCTTTATCAAGGTATGCACATAAAATAGATAAAAAACTACTATCTTCATTACTCATGATCCATGTAAAAAGATCATTTCTGTTTAAATTAACTAAACTGGGGTATTTTTTTATATAATCAGTCATATCTCTCCTGAGGTTATTGTAAAGAGGGCATTCCAGAAGAAAGTGCATTTCATTTTTAATAGAATTTGACACTACTAAATTCAATAATTGTCACATGTAGTTTCCGTTTGTATTATTATATTCAGCATGACTTTATAAGATGATAATACGAATACTAAAAATCCAGACTAAAAATACGGCGTTACTAGGTAGTTTCCAATTTGTTAGCCGGCATGACGTAAAAGCGGCGAATCATAGAATTAAACTTTATATATAAATAATACAGGACAATGGTGCTGAATAAAAATTACACCATTCCAGGCCCTTTTGTTTTCCAAATAATTAATATTACCAGGATTACCAATAATTAACAAGTTGCGGGTCGACGGGTTCAAACAGAAAGATTTTGAGAGCAGAGAAAACTGTGCACCTTATAATCAGCATGACTTTATCAGATGACAATATACGAATACTAAAAATCCAGGAAAAAATAAGGCTTACATATAATTAGATACTTTGAATCAGTCACGGACCCGCGGATGTCGCGGGTGCGTTCTGGTATTATTAATTCGGCCAACAATGAAGAAGACATCGATGAAGGTGTAAATAGTTTGAATAACTTTTAACAGATATATATATATATACGAAAAGTACACTAAATGTGAAGTTATAAGTTTAATGAACATTGTTAAAATTTGTGGCTGTACTTATGGAAAAAAGAAGTATAAATTCGGAAATGACAAACCTTGGTTCACCTATGATGGTAGGATTCATATAAAAAGTACATGAAATCACTAGCCAATTTTAATAAATGTCACTCCAATGAAAATCATATCAATCTTAATTTAGATAAACAGAAATGTAAAAGCATGGAAAATAAACTTAAAAGACAATATAAAAACCAGCAAGGAAATATGTTTGATAACTTGCGAAAGAAAAATCCACGAACATTTTATCGTAAATTCAAAAAGAAAAAAATCTCGTGTGATAAGTACAGTAATATAACACTCCAACTGTTTGAAGAAAATTTTAAGCATTGGTTAATAATAACACTACTTATGGCTGCAAATTGACCTCGTTCAATGCCAAAATACGAGTAAACAGTATCGACAGGATGTCTATTGGTTCCCATGGGAACGCCGATTGTTTGTTGAAAAATACGTCTTCCAAACATTACAAATCTGCTGTCAACCAAGAAATCAAGCATCTTGATAATGTCAGTTTCAGATAATTTTTGTTTAAATCAGAGTGATTTTTACAAAGTACGATTTATCCCTCTCAAGACAAGATGCAATAGCATAAGCGAGTGACCCAGGAATGCACATGTATTCTGGTAACGACTGTGTCGTTATCATTAAGTTTATAAATCTTACAAACTATAAATACTGAAATTATTTCCCATACTTGCAAGGTTTTTTTTCTAAATGTAACTAATATATGTCTTTGTATGCTTTGAAATGGCAACGATACAATATCCAAATTTACTTTAGCCACACATTTTGTTATTAGAATAAAAAAAATGCAAAAGTACATAGTATTGCATTAGACTCTAAGACAATATCAAACGTTGTCTTGATATTTGTCGCCCTCTTGACATTTTTTTCACATAATGTTTTCATATTATGTACAAGATCCAACTTTGAAAAAGAGTTGTGTACTGTAAATTGATATAAAGTGTACAAAGTATTGCATAATCAAAACATATAGTGTACTGCAAATTGCAAACATCGACCTCGTAAAATGTTTATTTTGGGTATTCTGGATCCGGAGTACTTAAAGTTTGTATAGCCATGGTACATCAAACAAAATGAATCATATGTGGGAAGTTTTCTATAAACAATTTTAGTTTTATTTCACAAAAAAACAGTTTTACAGTTTTTCCTATTTAGCGGACCGAGTTTCGATTAAAGATGAACGAGCATGTTTTCACAAAAGGAGAAACTATAGGCTGTTATTGCCACCACTTATCCTTGTTGATTGGTATCAAGATTGAAAAAGCCACATCACGTGCTTAGAACTGTAGATATATTACCTATCTATGAAATGGAACCAATTATTATGCAAAAACGTCATATACATTATAAACACAAACAGACAAAACAGACGTTGACCTTGCAGATCTTGTAAATGCTTACATGAAAATGTAAAAATATTTTTTATGAATTTCAGTGCAAGGCTGTTTTAGGATACGATAAATAGGGTATGGCGAGTAACACAATTTATGTATCTGGTGGGGACATAGACGAGGAGTTAAAAACAGAGATATTGGAAATATACACATCTGGAACAAATGCATCAGGTATGATAAGTTAATAAAGAAGTAGTATGGATGATACAAGCTTAAAGGAAGGCAGATATAATATATTACACATATCATTTCTATGAAAGGAAACCGTAATACGAAATCATTTTCATGAAAAACGAACCAAAAATTGCTTGCCATGCATGATAACAATATTTAAAAAAGCCCCCTCCCCAGTCCCCCTAATCAAACGTGGCTTTCCTAAACAATCATCAAAATTTTAACCACCAATGAAATAAATTTTAGATAGCATTTTTTTTAAATAATTTTGCATTCAATTTGTCTATTACAAAACAATGTATTATATTCAAGTGTTTTAAAAAGTAAAAACAACCATCATTATTTGGCAATAAACCCACTTAGGAATGAACTTTATATTTGTAATATTAATTTTTGACAGTTATTTGGATTTTTAGCTCACCTGGCTCACATGAAATCGAAATGCATTCTGGGAAATAGAATAAAAGTATGAAATAATGTTTTATATTCTAGTATATTCTATTCTACTCTGATATCATTTTAAAATTGCATTATTTATGTAGTGATTTATAATCCGAAAATCAATATGATTATATAATTTATTTACATAAATCAATGATTGAGGATTTTTAAGAATAAGATAAGACGAAAATCAATAGGGTTACATGTTATAGATGGAATATATAATACGCAATAGTTCCGAAATACACTATTTCAGTATTTGAATTGTCTGTTTACAAATTCCCGTTCTTGACCATTTAATTAGAGATCCCTTTTTTTAGTTGTCCCCCTTAGGAGGGACATACATTTTTATCCCCGGCTTAGTATATTTCTAGGAGTTTGATTGGTTAACGCACGACCCATAGCCCCTGGGTGTTGCTAACCCATATCCCCGGACGTTGCTACCCATAACATCGGGGAATTTCACGCGCGGTTTCCTTAGTTCCATGGTTGTTCCTTATGAAATATCGAATTATGTAGATTTTCCATGGTGTCTGTATAATTGAATACGTAATCCACTAACGATTTTATCTTATTATATCGATTATTTGCACTCATTTTAACAAATGCATCACTATGCAGCCACATTGTCAATGAATGGTACTACTGACCTAGCTATGCAAATGACCCACGTTGACGTCACAACGTTTATGATGTAACTCTCACAACACTGCGCTCCAAATTCGACCAATTTCAGTTTCTCTGTCTCTAGTTTAAAAACGTCTTATATTTGTCTACCTGTAGGGTTCTACCAAAGGTAGTACCCTACACCCCGTTAAAAATATGTCAAATTCCCAGATTTCAATAAAAGATATTTAAAAATGAAAAAAACGTTGCTTTCACGTTAAACTTTGTGGTCGAATTTCTCTAAAAATCGCCAGATTTAGACTAAGACCGGGGATAAATTCGTTATCTACGTTCAGGTGTACTTGGATACTTCAGGGTGTTAAAATATCCATATCTACGGATATGAACGTAGATAACGTATAGTATTGACAGAGAGCTAGCGGAAAGAGCAAATTTATCTGTGCACAATGTTTGTAACCTTTAATTTTTATACGACCGCAAAAAAATTTTGTGGTCGTATATTGGTATGACGTTGGCGTCGTCGTCGTCGTCGTCGTCGTCGTTGTCCGGCGTCGTCGTCGTCGTCGTCGTCCGGCGTCGTCGTCCGAATACATATTGGTTTTCGCACTCTAACTTTAGTTTAAGTGAATGGATCTTTTTGAAATTTGACCATAAGGTTAAATACCACAAAAGGAAGGTTGGGATTGATTTTGGGGGTTATGGTACTAACAGTTAAGGAATTAGGGGCCAAAAAGGGGCCAAAAATGAGCATTTTTAGTTTCCAGACAATAACTGTGGAACGGTGTATGGATCTCTCTGAAATTATACTACAAGTTTCCATACCACAAAGGGATGGTTAGGATTTGCTTTGGGGGGTTATGGCTCAAACCGTTTAGGAATTAGGGGCAAAAAAGGGGGAAAAACAAGGTTGTCCTGGTTAATGGACAAATACTTTAGTACAAAACATAATTTAAAGCAATGTAAGGGAGATAAATCAAATACATCATTGAAATTATCTCCCTTACACTGCTTTTAAATTATGTATAAAGTAATGGTTAATGAACAATAAAGATAATCTAAAACAGTGTAAGGGAGGTAATCCAAATACAATGTTTTGGTTACTTCCCTTACACTGCTTTTAAATTATGTTTAAAGAAATGCATATTTATAAAGGAAGACCAGTAAAAATATCTGCAAATGTTTTCATCTTTTTTTTTTACAAAAAAATCCATATGAAAGATTTGACACTATATTTTTATTAATTTTATTATAAAATAGATTAAGTTAGCACTATGGTAAATTTAAATGGGTAATTATGGTTGCCAACTCCATTGGAAATTTGAATTGAGATTATGACCATATCTTGAGGGAAAGAATTTTTTGGGGGGAAAAGTGGGGGGGGGGGGGGGGGGGGGGGGGATAAAAAGAAATTGTGGGGGCCAATTTTTTCTCATTTCAGATTTCAGAAATTAAAAAGAATTATTCTTCAAATATTATTTTTTTTTCAAATTTCAAATATTGAAAAATTTCAAGAAGTAATCTTTAATTGCACAGTATGGCGCATTAGATTTGTAAAATCTTTGATCACATTTATTTATTTGTTATGCCGAATCTAACAGTGTATTTAGATTTTTAATTTTGGGTCCAGTTTTCAAATTGGTCTACATTAATGTCCAAAGGGTCCAAAATTAAACTTTGTTTGATTTTAGCAAAAATTGAATATATGAGGTTCTTTGATATGCTGAATCTAAACATGTATTTAGATTTTTGATTTTTGGCCCAGTTTTCAAGTTGGTCCAAATTGGGGTCCAAAATTAAACTTTGTTTGATTTCAACAAAAATTGAATATATGGGGTTCTTTGATATGCTGAATCTAACCATGTATTTAGATTTTTTATTTGTGGACCCCGTTATCTAATTGGTTCATATTGAGGTCAAAAGGGTCCAAAATTAAACTTTGTTTGATTTCATCTAAAATTGAATTATTGGGGTTCTTTGATATTCCAAATCTAACCGTGTATTTAGGTTTTTAATTTTGGGTCCTGTTTTTTAAATTGGTCTACATTGAGGTCCAAAGGGTCCAAATTAAACTTAGTTTGATTTTAACAAAAATTGAATTCTTGGGGTTCTTTGATTTGCTGAATCTAAACATGTGTTTAGATTTTTGATTATGGGCCCAGTTTTCAAGTTGGTCCAAGATAGGGTCCAGTATTTAAACTTTGTTTGATTTCAACAAAAATTGAATATATGGGGTTCTTTGATATGCTGAATCTAAACATTTATTTAGATTTTTGATTATGGGCCCAGTTTTCAAGTTGGTCCAAATTGGGGTCCAAAATTAAACTTTGTTTGATTTCAACAAAAATTGAATATATGAGGTTCTTTGATATGCTGAATCTAACCATGTATTTAGATTTTTTATTTGTAGGCCCCGCTATCAAATTGGTTCATATTGAGGTCAAAAGGGTCCAAAATTAAACTTTGTTTGATTTCATCGAAAATTGAATTATTGGGGTTCTTTGATATGCCAAATCTTACCGTGTTTTTAGATTTTTAATTTGGGTCCCGTTTTTTAAATTGGTCTTCATTGAGGTCCAAAGGGTCCAAAATTAAACTTAGTTTGATTTAAAAAAAAATTGAATTCTTGGGGTTCTTTGATATGCTGAATCTAAACATGTGTTTAGATTTTTGATTATGGGCCCAGTTTTCAAGTTGGTCCAAGTTGGGGTCCAAAATTATACTTTTTTTGATTTCAACAAAAATTGAATATATGGGGTTCTTTGATATGCTGAATCTAACCATGAATTTAGATTTTTTATTTGTGGGCCCCGCTATCAAATTGGTTCATATTGAGGTCAAAAGGGTCCAAAATTAAACTTTGTTTGATTTCATCAAAAATTGAATTATTGGGGTTCTTTGATATTCCAAATCTAACCGTGTATTTAGATTTTTAATTTTAAGTCCCTTTTTTAAATTGGTCTACATTAAGGTCCAAAGGGTCCAAAATTAAACTTAGTTTGATTTTAGCAAAATTTGAATTCTTCGGGTTCTTTGATATGCTGAATCTAAACATGTGTTTAGATTTTTGATTATGGGCCCAGTTTTCAAGTTTGTCCAAGTTGGGGTCCAAAATTAAATTTTTTTGATTTCAACAAAAATTGAATATATGGGGTTCTTTGATATGCTGAATCTAACCATGTATTTTGATTTTGGACATTGGACCATAATAGGTAAATTAAAAAAATTCAAGTTCTTACACCACATTCTTTCTGTGTCAGAAACCTATGCTGTGTCAAATATTTAATAACAATCCAAATTCAGAGCTGTATCAAGCTTGAATGTTGTGTCCATACTTGCTCCAACTGTTCAGGGTTCGACCTCTGCGGTCGTATCAAGCTGCGCCCCAGCGAAGCATTTTATTTAAATCTTTCAATAATATTTATTTCTTTTTTTGTTAAGCTAATTAAAATAATTTTGATACTAGAAGGTATTTTTCACTAAAAATTTGTTAAAACGCCGATATATCACTTTCAACTTATCATGCTTTGCGTGGGCAAAAGCCAATTTTGTCCGGTATAGAACCAGTCTACGATAGAGAAAGGGGAGTAATTTGTTTAGAAGGTGTGTAATAACAGAATCAAATCGGCAATTGGCAGATGGACTATTGAATTGATAAAGTATTGAGTGGTTCGTAAATCAATACTGTTATTTACACGTTTACATGTATGTCCTATACGTATTTACCAGATAAGCCGAGAATCAATAATCATGTTTGTGGATAGCTGTGTACATTGATTTCAGTGAATTACCGTGATTTCCTAGTGAAACAAAAACCGATAATTTCACATGTGAAATAAACTTGATAATTTTACTCCTCTGACGTCATACAACAATAGGCGTTGCCAAGACGTTGTCGACGACGTTGCATCAAAACAAACTGTGAATAGCTC